ACCCTCCTCCGAGGGCCTCCAAGTGCAAGTAGGGAAGTGGGAGCGAGCTGGGACAGGATGTGAGAGAGGAGCCTGGGCCAGAAAAAAGCACAGAGGAAGTGAGGGCAAAGTGGTCACAGCTATAGCAGTTGAGGTCAGACTGGTCTCACGCTGGGCAGCGAGAGGCTCTGCTGCCAGTGCTTGTCCTTTGGGACTGGGTCACCAGAGATGGCCAGTTGGCATAAAGTCATTTTCAAATGCCCTCTTTGGTAAAGCCTTACACTGCAGCCTCTGCAGTCTACCTGCTATGGAGTTTGCTGCTGCATTCCTCAGCTTTCAGTCACTGTGACTGATACCTGAGATAATAATCTCTTAAAGAAAGAAGGGTTGTAGTTTTCGGGGTTCTGGTCCATGATGAATGGGCCTTATTGCTTTGGCCTACGGTGAGGAAGCACATTTTGGTGGAAGTGTATGGGAGAGCAAAGCTGGACACCTCATGGCTGGGAAGCAAAAGGAGGAAGGGGAGAGATTGGGGTGCCAGTCGTGCCCCCAGTGATCCAAAGACCTCACTTAGGCTCCATCTCCTACAGTTTTTCCCACCTACCAAGAGTTCCTAGCTGGAGACCAGGCATTTAGCACTTGGGCCTTGGGGTGTGTTTAAGATCCAAGCCATAGAAGTTGCCATGGGATTTATTTTTTTCCTTTTTGTAGTGACAAAATACACATACCATAAAATTTACCATCTTGACCATTTTAAAATAAACAGTTTAGTAGAATATATTCACATTTTTACACAACCATCACCACCTTCTACCTGTAGAATTCTTCTCATTCTGGAAAACTGAAACTCTGATCCCATGAAACCTGATTCCCATTCCCATACCCACAGCTCCTGGTAACAACCACTCTAGTGTTAGTCTCTATAAACTCAACTCCTCTACTCTTAGAAGTGTTTATTCCCTTTTTGGCTGGCTTTTCTCCATGTACCATAAGGTTCTCAAGGTTCATCCATGTGGTTGCCAGTGTCAGCATGTCCTCCTTCTTAGGGCTGGTATTTCAGAGTGTGTGCAGACTAGATTTTGTTTAGCTGCTTGCCCATGGTGGACAGTTCTCTACTATGAGGCATAGCAATTGTGAATGATACTGCTGTGATATGGGTGTACAGACATTTCTTTGACTGCTCCTTTCTAATTATTTTGGGTACATACCCAGAATTGGACTTCCGATCACATAGCTGTTCTATTGAATTTTTTGAGGACCCACCGTCATATTCCCCCACCATAGTGTTGGTACCGTTTTACATTCACACTAGTACTGCAGAAGGGTTCCAGTTTTTCCACAGTCTTGCCAACACATGTTATTTCCTGAGGCTTTTGTTGCTGTTGTTTAATAGTCTGGATATGAGATAGATATAAAATGATACGTGCTACTGTGGTTTTTTTGGGGGGGTACTAGGGATCGAACTCGGGACCTTGCACTTGTGAGGCAGGTGGCGGCACCACTGAGCTAAATCCCCAGCCCTATGTTACTATTTTTTAAATCTCATTTTTACAGATGTTTATAATTTGAAGCGCTTCAAAGCTATCATTCAGTGATCTTAGCTCCATTCATTCCCTGGCATTCCAAAACCAGAGTGTGAATTGTCTCTCAACGTCACACCCACACCTACACGCAGCACTCCTGAAGGGCTTGACAGCCTTTCCAGGGGTCTGCTGGACGCAGCTCTGAAGAAGAGCCCAGTGCTTGGGGCACCCCAGGTATGGCCCCCCGCCGGAGCTGTCCTCCAAATGGGGACAATAGCAGTGCCTGAACTTCCTAGCAGAGTTGGCCCTGGAGATAAAAAGGCTCTGGGAAATTGTACAGCAAGAGCAAAATCTCTGAGTTTGTCAGGATAAAAAAAGCCAAAAGAGAAAAGGGGAGGGCGCTGCTTCTTAGTAACGCATGTAGGCGATTTCAAGTTCATAGAAACAAACTGAATTACGGAGGAGGCAGCTCTGCCATTTGCAACCACAGATTGTTTGAAATCCTTTTAGAGGAAAATTAAAATATTTCACAGAGGTTAATAAAATGCCGGGTGTTCTGCAGGCCTGACTGCTCAGCTCTCTTGGACCAATAAATAATTAGACATTTTTGAGCCTCAGTATCATCACTTTCTTTCATTAGTGGAGGGGAAAAACTATTGTGGAAAATATATAAAAGTCTGGAAATCACCAGGAACTTAATTATAAAACTCTGTGTGTGTGTGTGTGTGTGTGTGTGTGTGTGTGTTTTACATTTTAAGTACAACATACAGCCTATTGTGGAGACAAAGGGAAGCTCTTAGAATTTATTTTCCCAAAGGCCAAAACTGTGAGCTGTACCCAATCTTGTTCTACTTCCAATGAAGTCTCATCAAAGATCCAGCCCTTCAGGGCACTGGCTGCTGAGACATGTGTCAGAATGTCTTTGTGGGCTGGAGATGTCCCCAGTTGTTCCTGTCCACTGCCCCCAGACACTCCTCTTTTTTCTACTGTCCCTCACAGAATCTACTTGAAGGAAAGGGTGGGTTTCTCCCTCAGCTGGAAATCATCTGCTCTGGTACCTCCTTTTCATGGCCCGGGTCTGGTCCCTACCCCTGAGCCCTGCCTGCAGAAGGGCAGAGGAGATCCAGGCCATGTCCAGGTAGTGCTGGAGGGTCTGTTTGTCCCTGTGCAGCAAATCCATGCTGGCATCGTCTTGAACCCATCTTCTTCCTGCCTGGCTGCTCTTCTGACCAATAGGAAGGAAGCAGTCCTCAGGATGAGAATCCAGAACCTCTCTGTGCAAAGCTGGTTTGAGACCCACACACACATACACAAAAACTTTGCTGGAACCAGGTGTGGGTGGTACACACCTGTAATCCTAGCACTCTAGGAGGCTGAAGCAGGAGGATCACAAGCATAAGTCTAGCCTAGACAATTTAGCAACCTAGAACCTATCTCAAAATTTAAAATGTATTTTAAAAGTCAGGGGATAGAGCTCAGTGAAAAAGACTTGGGTTCCATCTCAAGTACTGCAGAAATAGACACACTACTGAGGTGTAGGGGGCTTGGGAGGTGATTATTACTATTCATTCCTCTTCAGAATCTCTCCGGGGTTTGTGTTTCTCTCTGGTGGCTTTTATTACTCCCAAAACCACCTCCACCTGTATGGCTGCATGTTAATTTTCAGTGATGCCTGAGTATGTGCATGCATGTGGGCCTACAAGGGAAGTAGGCATCCTTGCAAATCTACACTGCCCACAGCCACCTGCTGAGCCCACCCTCAGTGCCCAGATGTGGGCATCAAGTACCAATCCACCAGCTTGCATTTTTCCCAGCAGATAGAACTCCCTTGAGCCATTCGGCAAGAAGTTGGCAAGTACCTACTATGTGCTGGGCTCTGCATCACCCTCTCGGGTGTTCCCACAGAGGAACAGAACACAAGGGATGGACCCAGGGGGTGATTTGCAAATATAAGGAGATGTTTCAGTTTGTCCTTAAAGGATGAGGAGGAGTTTGCCCTGCAGGGGAGGGAGGGGGCTCTCTGGGAACGAACAGCAGTGAGAAGGCACCAAAGCAGGAATCAGCCACCTAGGAAAGTGACAGGTGCTGGGAGACACAATCAGGGACTCACTGAATCTTCAGGGCAGGAGCTGACCATGGAGGGCCAGCACATAGCAGGTGCCAGTGTGTGTGTCTAATGAGCAAGTGAAGAGAAGGCAAAGAGGGAGGATCCAGGTAGGGGAGAAGTCAATTGTAGCTTATTCATATAATGCAATCTATAGACCAAGCTAAGGAAACAAACTGGAACCATAAATACAAATGAATCTCACAACAGAATGTGGAATGGGTAAAGCAACTTACAAAAGGATGTGTACAGCCTCCTGATGCCACACAGAAAATTTGGCTATGATGCATGATGTCACCACTGTCTGACCATTTTGACACACAGAGGATCCATTTCATTTGGTCCAACCTACATCGAAATCACAATGGTCATCCACATTATGTAATACTATTCAGCAACCAAAAGGAACACATTGCACCCAGAACGGCTTGCCTAGATCTCCAGGGAATTACGCTAAGTGAAAAGGCCAAACCTCCAGATTTACATATTGTGAGGTCATATGTATGTGACGGGCTAGCAGTGGGCTTGGGTTGTAGCTCCATGGCACAGTGCTCACCTCACGTGCCTGACACTCTGGGTTCTATCCCCAGCAGTGCAAAAAAAAAAAAGTTAAGATGAGGAAAGAAATGAAGATGAGGAGTAGATTATTAATGCCAGGATCAGGGAGGGAGGTGAGAGTTGCTATCAAAGAGTCATCCAGGGACTCTTGCAATGAAGTCTCCCGTCCTGAATTCGGACATGATGCCACTATAAAAACTAGATAGACACACACACACACACACACACACACGAGTTCATGTGAAGGGGATGGGATGTGGAGACGTCTGATGGTGTCAGTCAACCTCCTGTCTGTGACTTGGTGCTACAGTGATGCAGGAGGTCCACATGGGAACTGAAGGTGTACAAAGGCCTTTGAATTATTTCTTACTGCATGTGGATCTACAGTTATCTCAAAATTAAAAATTAAAACATGTACATGGTAGTCATTAGTGCTGAATCTGAGATAGAGGTTGATTCTAGGTCAGAGGGTGAATTATGTAGATGAAAAGAGATATACAGGGGAGACTCTCCTTTATCTGATATGTTTTCTTAAAAAACAAAATTCTGGAGCAAATATGGCATAAGGTCAAGATTCTACAGAGCAGAATGGGGGATACATAATGATTATCATTATCTCATTTATGTTGGAAATAATTCATCATTTCTGAAAACTATCTCACCTAGGATGTGCTGGCCGGGACACCTGACCAGGCACAGGGTGAGGCCTGGGCTTGCTGAGGTCACCCCTCGCTGTGGTCCTCCAGGCAGCAGCCCCACAGCCACAGTGGCAGCCAAGGCAGGGCCTTCTCTGGTCCAGCCCTGCTGGTGTGAGCCACTCTCACCTTTCCCCGCAGTCCCCAGAGAAGGAGGGCGCCCTGCCCCGGCAGGTGGGGAACAAGACGGAGTGTGGCCTGCTGGGCTTTGTGCTGGACCTGAAGCAGAACTACGAGCCTGTGCGCAGCCAGATGCCAGAGGAGAAGCTGTACAAAGTGTACACCTTCAACTCCGTGCGCAAGTCCATGAGCACCGTTATCAAGATGCCCGATGAGAGTTTCCGCATGTACAGCAAGGGTGCTTCTGAGATCGTGCTCAAGAAGTAGGTGGCTGGCAGAGTGCCAGGCCAGGGCGAGGGGGCGTTAGCTGGCTGGGTCCCACAGTGCTAGCTGTCACCCAGGCTGGGCCAGCAGTGCCCCTGGGCTGGCAGGGCTCTCTAGTACCCTGGGGCATAGAGAGGGCCCTGCCCAAGGTCACTCCTCAAGACTCACCTCCAGGGCCCCACTCACTGGTCTTTGCTTTGTATCCTCTTAAAAAATTATAGAGTTCTCCCCTTCCTCTTCCCTCAGTCTCTGCTTCCTCAGCCCGCACTTAAATCTCTCTTATTTCTCTCCCTTTAGCGTACATTGGGTAATGGTATTTATGTTATTTATTAACCACGCTCCTCTAACTCCAGATGCTAGAACTAAGCCTGGAGAACTAAGCCAGCCACCTCCCTACCCTGGGCCTCTACCTCCCCACTTGCTCATTGCAGGGCTTGACCTAGACCAGTGGTTCTCGAGCCTAGCTGTGCACTGCAATCCCCAAGGCAGTTTTCTAAAAACCACCACTTTGGGCAGACGGTGCAGCTCAGTGGTAGAATGCTCATCTTGCATGTGTGGAGTCCTGGGTTGCATGCTGAAATGAAAAAATCAGCTCATGGACTTACCTGAGACAACTTGAATTGGAATTTCTAGGCAGGGCTCATATGTGGGTGTTTATTAGATATTAAATGGTATTTAGTTGTTTTATGACTTTGCAAGCAGAGTCAGAAGTCCGAGCCTAAGCTTTCGGCCTTCACTGATACCTCAGCTCCAGCACTGCTATAGCAGACACAGCCCATGACTGTGGCATGTGACAGCCCTGAGGCATGAGGGAGATGAACTAGATGAGCACTGGCTGACCACGGTGGCAGCCAGGCATCCTGAGGCAGGGCCCCCACGATCCCTTGGCTGGCCCTTACTTATGTCCCTTTCTCCCTCCCCAGGTGCTGCAAAATACTCAGTGGGGCAGGTGAGCCACGGGTCTTTCGGCCTCGAGACCGAGATGAGATGGTGAAGAAGGTGATCGAGCCCATGGCCTGTGATGGGCTGCGCACCATCTGCGTGGCCTACCGTGACTTCCCCAGCAACCCCGAGCCTGATTGGGACAACGAGAACGACATCCTCAGTGACCTCACGTGTATCTGTGTGGTGGGCATCGAGGATCCCGTGCGGCCAGAGGTAAGGATGAGGCCAGGTCTGGGGCTGTTCACCTCCTTTCCTGCATGTACGCTCATTAAGACCAGCATGGGCCACCTCCGGCTTGTGTAAGCAAAGAAAGATGGCTGGCTGGTGTTGCTCTGCCTTGGGGACAGTCCTTAAGCTGTTCACTCAGCCAGCAGGGGCTTTGCCCTCTGCCCCCAGGTGACAGTTGTGGGGGCCCCCCTATGGGAGAGACTCCTCACCCCGTGGGAACCAGGGGCTCTTGGAACAAATCCTCAGGCCTAAATTCCAGGTCTCTGCAAAGGACATGCCCAGTCGCAAGGACCACTGTCCTCAGGAGAGCCCAGATTATGGTGTCCTCATCAGTCTTTGCTCCTCTCTCCATCCACATGTAGGTGTGTGATCATGTCCCCTGTCCAGCTTTCCTGGTGGAACAGCTGGTGGTATGTATCAGATGTGCAGGTGCAGAGTTTGCAGTCAACCAAGGGTTACCTTCTCTAGTGGAAGGGGCATCACTGGGATGGGAGGCAGGAAGAACAGCACTAACAAATGCTCCACACACTGTGGGCCTTCCAGCTGTGGCTACATATGTGTCCAGGGGAGGCTGGGCCCACACTAAGGCCAGCTCTGTCAGGAGGACGAGGTGTATGTGGTCCCAGAACTGCCTGGGTAACTGAGGCTGAGGGGGAAGCACCCCTGGCTTGGGACCTCCAAGGTACTGCTGTGGGGCTAACTCAGAATTAATTCAGCTGCTGTCTGCATCTGTCTCCTAGCTGGGCCTGCTGCATCTGGTGCCAGCCCCATGAGGGGTCACTTCTAGAGCTCTCAACCTGTGCTAGCACCATTCTCTGGGGCCCTCTGGCCCTTCCCTATGCGCTCTTTCAAAGAATCTTAGTTTCTCCTCTTTTCAAGTAGGAGAGGGTAGCCATGCATGAAAGTGCATGCCTGTAATCCCAGCACTTGGGAGGCTGAGGCAGGAGGATCACTGTGAGTTTGAGGCCAGCCTGAGCTACATAGCAAGTTCAAGGCCAGCCTGAACTACATAGGGAGACCTTGTCTCAGAAAAAAAAAAAACAGAGAGAGATAAGGAAAGGGTAAAGGGACATTACCAGAGACCCCTGCAGTGGTCCTGGTCTCCTGGAAGCCAGTACAACATCTGAGAGATAGGAAAGTGGGAATTAAGAGAAGCACATAGATAGAGGCTTGAGAGAAACTGAATCTTGGGTTGATCTAAGCTGCTCTGGGCAGCAAAGACAAAGGACTCCCAGGACATCCAGTTTATTCATTACAAGTTTGGGAAGGGGACAAGCTGGGCAGGCCTTGGGACACCTGCTTATAACAAGTATCAAGCAGGCAGGACTGTAGAATGAGGGCACAAGCATATTTTTGGTGAAGACCTTGACTGGGAATTAACTCAGCCAAGCTCTGCTACTTCTAGTGTAACACAGCAGAATTATGGAGGGTCAAGAAGCTTATGCCACTATTGCCTGCTAATACTGGACAGAGGAGTCTGCTACAGAGAGAGAATGGGAGGGGAGGGAAAGAAGAGAAAAAGAAGAGAGGAGAGGAGAGGAGCGGAGCGGAGCAGAGAGGAGAGGAGAAGCAGAGCTGCCCTCCAAGATCCTGGCCCTGCTGCTCTTGGATTCTGCATTCCAAAGAACAAGCACACTAGGAGGTCACAGACATAGACTCTGACACTTAGGCAGGAGGGCTCCAAGTGTAAGCTCAGGCATCAAACAGACCTGAATTCTGGAGTGCCAGACTTCCAGTGTGTGACAATGGGCCAGTTATATAACCTCTCTGGGCTTGTCTTTAGACTGGGAATGGTCATAGTACACACACACACACACACACACACACACACACACACACACACACTGGGATATTGTGTGGTGTCAGATCATACACATGAGCAGTTGGCAGGGTATCTGGCATGAGGTCAGTTGCCCATAATTGAGGATCCTCTTGCTTCAGGCCCTCCCAGGTCAGCTCATTGCTGCAGAGCCATGTCTAGTAGCCCCTAACACAGAGCCTGACCTTCAGAGGTGCTTGTAAGTGTTTGTGGAATGAAAGAATGGAATGAATACACTTGAAGCCCAGTCTAACACTGTCTCATCCTGTATTTCACACACACACATGTGCATACACACACACACACACTCACAACACTCAGTGGGTCTCACTCAGCCTCCTCACTCCTACCCAGGTCTTAAAATGGAGCCTGAAGCCCGTATGCATGTTCCTGAAGACACAGTTCTCCTTGATATACAGGCCATTTATCAGCCCCCCAAGGGACTCCACCCATTTCCAGCTAGTGCTCACCTCCTTGCTGGAAGTTGCTGGGCCCCAGAGCTCCTGGCTCAGCACTTTGCCTGGGAACGTCCCTGAGGTGGGGTAGAGGGCCGGGGATTTAGCTCAGTGGTTCCACTGCCTGCCTTGCAAGCACAAGAACCTGAGTTCGATCCCTGGTACTAAAAAAACAAAAAAACAGAAACAAAACTCATAGGTTCCTGAGGTGGGGTAGAAAACATCAGTGGCAAGTATTTTTTTGGCCATGACCAAAGGTGAAATATACTTTATGTCATGGTTCACACCAACACACACTCTTAATTCCCCAAAGTAATATGATACCAGGAAGGTTTTCTATCCATTTCTTTCCTTTGTTTTTTGAATGTGGATATCATCCACTAAACTGATTTCACAGTCGCTCAAGGGGTCCCACTTGAGATTAGAGCTGCTGGTCTCATCCATGTGCTATCCCGCATCCCCCAGTCTGCAGGTGAGGCTGTCAGGTCTACAGAGGGACAAGGGTATGTGCCCGTGTCTCCCTGTAAGTGGCTGAGCAAAGCCAGGTTAGATCAGGCTCTCTGCCTCCCCGCCCCAGGGCCTTTGCCTGGGTGCCACATGAGGATGGCACAAGGCATTTTGGAAGAGAGAGAGCCTGCACGCATCAGTCATTTCCTATGGACAGCATGTTCATCCAAGGTGACTGCAGACAGACTTGGAGGGGGTGTGGCTGCAAGCTCCAATTCTGCCACCAACAAGCCACTTCTCTTCTCAGCACCTCAGTCTTCTCATCTGCAAATTGGATCCCTCAGTTCCCTTCCAGGCTCTGACTTTCTCAGACAGGGAGGCAGCTGACAGACAAAGCCATCCCCACCCCAGCATCTATGGAAAGAAGTCCTAAACTTATCAGAGTGACTAGCAGAGAGCCACAGCAGAGTTGGGGACCCAGGTTCTAACTTTGCCTTTCCACTCCCTCATGGTGGCCCTGGGTACATTTCTTCTCCAGCCTCAGTTTCCCCCTCTGAAAAATAAAAGAGTTGGACCTCCTGATGTTCATAGCTGCAGAACACAGCAAGCTGTAAGGTGGCTATTGAGAGTACACAAGCTCAGATGGAAGCGGTGCTGAGGAGACCTGTAGGCATCTGCTTTTCAGGATGGGTAACTTGAATGTGTGGAGCCACATTCGGAAGGCTCAAAAGCAGTGTGGAATGCCCTGCTGCCTCTGCCCTGACTCCCACCTCAGCAGCAGCTGCTGTCCCCCGTGTCATGGGTGACTTTCCCTCCAGGACTATCCATGCCTATGGCAGTAGTGGTGGGCTTTGGAGGTTTTTGTTCTGCAGAACCAGGATCAAACCTAGGGGTGTTCTACCCCTGAGCTGCATCCCAGTTTTTTTTTTTTTTTTTTTGGTATCAGGGATTGAACTCTGGACCTTGCACTTGTGAGGCAGGTGGTGGAACCACTAAGCTAAATCCTTTTTTATTTTTTACTGTAAGGCAAGGTCTAAGTTGTCCAGGCTGACTTCAAACTTTCGATCCCTGCCTCAGCCTCCAGTGTAAAGGGAACCACCAGTCCAGCTGTTGGTCACGTTTTCCACTCTCCCGGGTCCTTTCCCCAGGCTTGTTCCTTTTCCACAGCACTCTCCATCCCCTGCTTTGGATGCTGGGCAGCTCTGCACAGTGCCTCCCTCTAGGGTCTCCAGCCTGGTGCAACCTCCACTTGGAGCCCCTCCAAGGCCCTCAGACAAGCTCAGATCCCATCCACAGCAGCAGGAAAACAATCTCAGCCTTCCTGGGCCCCCCATAGTCCAGGGGCAGAGCTCCACATTGCCTTCCACCCTAAGAGAACCCATGGCACTTTAAATGCTTGCCAGGAACCAGACAACCAGCGTACAGCCTCAAGGAGCAGCTGCTGGGCCGGGCAGGGGCTATCATCAGGGGCATGTGGAGGCCTTGGAGTCACAGGCGAGGGCTGTCACCAGAAATAACAGATGCTTAAAAGCCTTTATTTAATGAAAACAGGAAGCACACATTTCCTGGCTGTTTTTCCTTAGTGAGAAATATCTAGGATAATTTTAGTGAAAGAAGCCATTTTTCAAAAAATGTAACAGTGATTTTATTATGTAGAAAGCTTATTTCCAGCATGCCAATGCCTCTGGGGCTTGAGCCTTAATCATCCCTGGGTCTTCTGTGCCCTGGGCAATTGGATGCTTCGTAGATGTTTGTTAGATGAGTGAATGTGTGAGTGATAAAAGACAGAATCTACCCCACTGGAGTGGAGGAGGCTGCATGAGGAGCATTCCCCACAGAAGACAGGCAGGTGTGACCCACAGAGGTAGAGGGAGGGAGGACACTGCTGGCAGAAGAGACCGAATGGCTGAATGGGAGGAGGTGAAGTAGTCTACTTACCATTACCTTAACAAGATGCCTGAGACAGTAGTTTATAACAGGACACGAGTGTTTTAACTTGTCCATGATTGGTTGGCCCACGGCTTCAGAGCCCTGGTAAGGCAGCATATCCTGACAGTGTGAAAGAGCAGAGCAGTTCACATCTTGGTTGGGAAGGAAAAAGAGACCAAGAAGAGACCGGCCCCTCCCCCAGGCCCTCCTAGGCCCCACCCCTATGCTGCCTCCCAAAGGCTCCACCCCTCCCAGGACCTCTGCCCTCTGGGGACCCAAGCCTCTCATGCAGAGGCCTTTGGGACCTTCCTGACCCCAGCCACAGATGCCCAAGCTCTGGGTACCTGTGGACAACCCTGTTGCACTTGTGAGAGAAAAGGCTACACAGGATGCTCAAAGCCCAATTAGGAAGGACTGGCATGTCCCTGGGCTAGGCGTGGTACTGTCAGCTCCTTGTCCCAGAACCTCACACCCTTGCTGACAAGTGGGTGCTATGGCTCCCACATTATAGATAAGGTGAGCAGATGCCAGCTCAGCCTTTGGGGCTCAGCCCTCTGACCCTATGGCAGGGAAGGGAAAGTGAAGTCCGTACATCAGGCTGGCCTCCTCACATTGCTGGCTGCTGGGAAAAGCCTGGAGGTTAACAGTTGTAGCTCCAAGAAATAGTCCCAAAAGCAAGAGTCTCCCCACATCAACCCCAGCAGGACCCCCATGGCTCCTGGGATCTGAGGGGCCACCTTCTGACCACAGCCCCCAGCCCACATCCTCCTTAGCCTCAGCCCTCAGGTCACCCACAGTATGGCCCCCAGGCCCTTCACATCCAGAGCCTTCTTTACCTGTATACCTTGTGGGTGGCTCTATAGCCAGGAGAGCCACTCTGTGCTCATCTGTGTGGCCCCATCTCTGGCAAAGCCTCCATTGCTTTTGATGGAGCAGAACTGGCATAGACATTCCCTCCTCCAAGAAGCACATACTATTTTCTCCTCCCCACCTGCTTTTTTATGAAGTAACAGTGTCTTCCTCTGTGCTTCTAGAGCACTTTATCTAGGCTTGCACCAAAGACCCATGGTACAAGAGTGTGGGTCTGACGCAGGAAACACTGTGCTATCTGAAAATAGAAAAATTATGAAAGAATAAGCTAGACCTGGTCTACCATGGAGCAGCCAACTGTGGAGGGAGTGGACACTCATCATCAGAGACTTGCAAGCAGACTGGCTAACCATCTGCTGGGGACACCTAGGAACAGAGGTGGGCAATGACAGGGCCAGAGCCAAATGATGTAGTCTGTTCCAACACCAAGGCCTTAAGTGAGTTTAAAACATAACCTAAATTCCTCTTTGGGATCGGAGCAGATGAGGTGTGTTTCTGGAAGAACTCTGTCCTGTCTTCAGCAGCTGAGGTCAAAAGAGTGTGAAGGGTATGAATGGGACATTGGGCATCCATGTCCCTTCTCTTACCCTCTCTGTGGGCTTCTGTGAGCTGCTACTGGGATGTGATGCTGAGGCCTTGCTCATGTGGCCCCCAATCCCTGAGCAGACACAGGAGGCTACTCCCAGGCCCTGCAAATAACCCCATAGGAGCCTGTGGCCATCTGGCTCTGCTCCAGCCCTTCAGTATTGGGAGGTCACTACCTTCTGCATGGGGCTGTTCCTTAGACAGTCCTGGTACCTGAGAGGCCTCTGTCCCCAGACCCAGGAGCTGTCCTAAGGTGTGTGTCCCCCCGCTCAGCCACAAGATGGCCATGCATGGAGGCCTGAATTTTCTCTCCAGCATCAAGTTGGAATCCCTGAAGCAGATGACCACCGTAGGCCAATGCTTAGGCAGTCACTGGTGGCCAGGGTAGGGGAAAGACAGAAGAGGGAAAGAGACCAGAGGGGCAGGGCAGCATCCCCAGCTGGAGATGATGGTCGGGCTGATGGAGTGGCCAGTGGTGTGGTGGCATGGACACAAGTGAGATATTTTCAAGGCTCACCTTTGTTCTTGCCATTCCTTGAGGGCTGAAAGGGACCAGGAGGCAGGAGGTGTCCATAGTCAGGTTTGGTGCCAGGGTTATGATTCTGTTAGTTTGTTAGGACTGTCATATGACAGTCCAGGCTTCAAGTACAGTGTAAGAATAGTAGCCTAAAATTGAGATGCATGTAATCTCAGCAGTCTGGAAGGCTGAGCCAGGAGGATTACAAATTTGAGCCTAGCCCAGGCAATTTAGCAACTTAGCAAGACCCTGTCTCAAAATTTTAAAAAAATTTAAAAGGGCTGAGAATACAGCTCAATGTGAAGGCCCTGGGTTCAATCTCCAGTACCACAAAAAAAATTTTTTTTTTTTTTAGTTTGGATCTTTTCCTGGGATAGCAATATTCAGCACAACATCCTGGAGATGCTGGGCAAGGCCAAGAGCCACATTCATCCTGACAGGGAGCAACCAGGCCTCTGCTGAGCACTGCTTGGCTAAATGCAGGGTGAGCAGTAGGTTAGGTATGTGGAGTGCATTTTTAGAATTCATGGTACTTTCAGCTTCTGATGGGTGTGCCAGAACCGATAGGGGCATCTTATCACAAGCTGAGGGGCTCAGACACCAGACACCTTCTCACCTTCTGGAAGCTGAGGGCCATCTGATTCCAGGAGGGGGCGGCTGGCTGCTTCAGAGGCCGGTGAGGGATGTCTCTCCAGGCCTCTCTCCTGGCTCCCAGGAACGCGCTGCGCTGGAGATGTGTCCCAGCAGCATTCTCCTGATCTCTGCCTCATCTCCCCATGAGATCTCCCTGTGTGCGTGTCCTCTTTCTAAGGACATAATCACTCTGGATGAGGGCTCACCCTGGGTGGCCTCAACTTAACTTGATCTCTGCCATAAAGACCCTTTCCCAGGGGAAGGCCCTCTCCACAGCTGTGGGCTCCGGACCAGAATGTATCTTTGAGAGGGCTCAGCCAGTCTGTGTAGGCGTCACCTTCTCTCAGCAGTGGAGCAGCCCAGTGGGCAGGAGAGTGAGCAGCCTGTTGCTGTGCTCTGCAAGAGGAGGGGGAGTTGGGTTAAGCCCTCAGGCTTGAGAGTCTAACCTGCTTTTGTCTTTCTTTACAACTGAATTTTCTACCCTTGACATGTTCTCTCCTACTCAAAGATGTTTTGCAGCAAATATAGCCTTATTATTTTATTATTTGTCACTGCCCATGGGTACGAATCACTTGTTTGGTTGATCTATGTTCCCCATAAAGGGCTGCAGCAGCCCCAGGCTAGTTTCCACGACCTAATTGCTGGGTGAATCCACAGCTCTGTGGAGGAGCTACTGGGGAGGAGGGGTGGTGGGTGTTGCCACCTTCTGATTGGCAAAGTTGGGTCTGATCTGACCTTATTGGCCTAGACATAAGTCTGTTACTACAGTTGTGAGAGCAGGATGCAGCCCTTACTTGTCCTTGACACATCCTATTTGACACGAAGCAGAGTCCTGTGTAATTATTCTAAGCCACTATCACAGTCTATAAGTAAATAAAATGTCCCCAAATGCAAACGTCCCCCAAAAAACCTGAAAATACACTAGCTTATTATGCAGTTTGTAAATGAAACCAAGGCAAGTTCGAGTGTAGTTATCAAGTACTGGACACTCTCGCCCTGGGCCAGATCTAAGGGGGAGCTTCTTTGGTCTTTCCAAAGTCTTTGCCAGATCAGGGTAGCCAATGGCTTTGTCTCAGGATAGACTGTTGTGGTCAGCAGGTGTCAGCTGCCTGGAACTCCGTGTTGAGAATTCTGAGGCCCCACCAGGTCTAATCAGGGATGCTGCAATGGATTAACAGTGCCTCCCCTGGGTGCAGCAGGAGAGGCAGGGGCTTGGTGCCATGCGTGGTTACCTAGGCCCCTTTCCTGGAGCTGCGTGGGAAAGGTACTCCCTCGGGTTCCATGAAGGGGAACAGGGCCCACCAGAGGTGGTGCCCTCCCCCATGACTCTCATCCTCCTGTCCAGGTCCCTGAAGCCATCCGCAAGTGCCAGCGGGCAGGCATTACAGTCCGCATGGTCACTGGTGACAATATCAACACGGCCCGGGCCATCGCCATCAAGTGTGGCATCATCCATCCTGGGGAGGACTTCCTGTGCCTGGAAGGCAAAGAGTTCAACCGGAGGATCCGCAACGAGAAGGGGGAGGTGTGTGGCCCGGGGAGTGAAGGGTCCCCAGAGGGGATGGACGGGCACTCCATGGTTATACAGAAGTCATCCCATGTGCCACAGACAATCTGCCATCTGTGAGCCTCAGTTTCTCTCTCTGACCCACCAACCCACTATCTACCCCATCCCTCTCCAGATTGAGCAGGAGCGAATTGACAAGATCTGGCCAAAGCTTCGAGTGCTGGCTCGCTCTTCCCCCACGGATAAGCACACTCTGGTCAAAGGTGAGTGGGGGTGCCACAGGCAGTGCTGAGGCCTATACAGGCCAGGAACCACTCTGGCTTGCTGGCACTTGCAGCTTCTTTTCAGGAGGAAAGGGTCCCTGTCTGGCATTCCCCACACCTGAGAGAGTGCTCATTCATCATCCCCACTCAGCCCGGGGCTTCTTCTGTGCCTCTAACTCCTCTAGGAAGCAGTGGGACTGGACCCATCTGGGGTCTCAAACTCATGGCTCAAGGCCCAAGTCGGGCCCCCAGATTGCTCTCTATGGCCACTATAGGGCCTTTTTTGCTGATTTTTTATTTTAATTTTTTTTAGTCCGTGTTTGCAGTACATAGTGACTACACTCATCATGTGGAGTTGGTTCATGTATGTAACATATCTCGATTCTTTTTTCATCCTCTTTCCCTCCCACCATCTCTTGGCTCCCTTCTTCTGCTGAATTTGAATGAGTTTGTGTAGACCTTGCTCTCACTTCCTGACACCCAGCATGCTCACTTGCTCTTGTCTGGCCCCAGAGCTCATGAGTTTGAGACCCTTGGTCAACTTCACCTTTTGAGACCCAGTGGGCACCTATGACCAGGACCTGGGGATGGGGCAACCTGGGAGCAGCAGCCTGAGTCAGGAGGCTGAGAGCCAGACTCCTCCCTTTGTATCTCCTCCAGAGAGGGACATGCACCACTTGCTAAGCCTGGATGACAGCTGTGAGCCACTTCCAGAGTCACATAGCCCTGGTGTCAGGTAGATTTTTGTTGCTATGACAAAACACCTGACAAAGTCAGCTTAAAGGAGGAAAGGTTATTTTGGCTCATGGCTTCAGAGGTTTTGGGCCAGTGTCACCTGGCGGCATTGCTTCTGGGCCATGGCCACACAGAACATCAGAGGAGAGACATGGGGTACAGCAGGAGCTCACCTCTTGGAGGCCAAGAGACAAAGAGAAAGGGAAGAGCCCAGAGAAAGGTCTGGGGACCAGAGATTGTCCCCAAGGCCACATCAGCAAGGCCCAGTACCCCTGGTTTCATCACCTCCCAATGATACTATCTGGTTGCAGCCTCCTCAGTGTGATCCACAATCCAGTCACCTCCAAAACCCATCAGCAGCAAGCTGTCAATGCAGTGAGCCATTAGGGGGACATATCATATCCACACCATAATACCTGGTTCATAGCCCTGCTTTGCCACTGACCTGCTCTGTGGCCTTGGCAAGCCCCTCCACTCCGAGACTCAGTTTCCATTTGTGTCTTAAGGGTGTTGCCCAAGGACATTAATGGAAGCAGATCTGGCCTAGGGATAGAAATACAGAATTTAGAGCCACAGACACTGAAACAAAAGGTCTCCAACCCATTCTTACCTCTTATTCGCTCATCAGTTCACTCACTCATTCTCCAAGCAGCTGTTTATTGAGGACCTACCTACTGTGTGCCAGCCTCTGCTCTAGCCAGGCATAGTCCCTCCCTCTGGAATCCATGGTACAGTTCCCATGCAACAGATGTGGGTGAGGCTGTGGTGTCCCTGCAGAGTGAAAGGCTGAGTGGGCAGCTGCAAAAGGTGTGCTGGGTCCTCCCCAGCTTCTGACTCCTGCTGGGAAGGTGTCAGTCCCAGGACCCCAAGGCAGGGAGGGACTCAGGCAGGGCAGGGAAAGCACTGCAGAGCTCAGAGTGGCTGGGCCCTCCCAGGAGAGAGGAGCTGGAGGAGGAGCCTGGGGAGGCATTGGCCAGGAGCCCAGCTACTGACCTGCGCTGTTAACCCAGAGCCAGGGTACAGAAGAATAGGAGGGGAGAAGCACTGTCTAGAAAGCTAATCTTGTTCTGGGGAGGGACCACCAAGATTGTCAGTGTGACCATTGCTGCCTGGACTGAGTGGTGACAGGGCCGGCAGTCTGCAGTCTGCAGGTCTGAGGGACGTTTGCAGGTGGAGAACCTCTGCTGTCTATTGGGAGGGGACACAGGAAGGAGGGGCTTGATCCCTGAGGTCTTTGGTGTCTGAGAGCCTGCACGATGGCATGTCCTGTGGCTTTCAGGGTCTGTGGAGAAGGGATGCATTTGGGGTAGAACTGGCCAAGCTGGGGCCCTCTGACATGAGTGGAGCTGTCCAAACAGCTGGCCACCAGGTCAGATGGAAGCCGGAGGGGTGTGGCAAGGGCAGGGAGCAGCTGAGCTCCCACCTGAGTAGTGGTGGGGGCTGAGACCCTGCCCAAGGAAACCCAAGACGGATGGCCAAGGAGAAGGGGACAGCAGGGGTGAGGGGTGTAGGAAGGACGCCTGTGTGCACAGTGGGAACAGAGGCTGAGCAGTTGGCAGAGCACGGAGGTGGCCATGCAAGGCTGAAGGTGAGGAGAGGGCTAGGTTGGCAGGGGCCCTCCTTCCAGCTCTCTGGTCTACTGGGAGCAGTTGGAGGCTGTGAAAAGTCTGAGCCAGCCTGGGAGCCACAGAGAAAACCCCACCTCTCTCACCTGAGGAGCCAGTGCTTCTCAGGGGACCAATGAGGACAAAGACCCTGCAGGCCAAGTGGATGGGACCCATTGCTGGCCGCAGGCTGGATCAAGGCAGCCCAGGGTCACTCCTGAGGCACCAGGTGTAGGAGCTGGGCCTGAGATAGGGGTGCTTTAGAGAAAACAGGGCCCCAGGGCAAGGAGCTCCTTACCCCCTCTATGGCTGCTGCTGCCTGTAGGGAGACACCCACAAGGAGTGGGCAGGGGTCACCATGGCAGCAAAAGGCCAAAGCTACAGATGGAGGAAGGAGTGCATCTGGCCAGGAGGAGAGACAGCATGAACAGGGCAGCCACGTGCTGTAGGGAACAGGGAAAGGGGACGTTACCAGAACCTCTGCAGTAAGTCCTAGTCTCCTGAGAGCCACGGCAGCACAAGGCGAATTACAGAAAAGGTAGAAAAATGAGACTGAGAAGAAGCTAAGCCTTGGGTCTGATCAGTGCTGCTCTGGGCTGCAAAGACGAAAGCGGCCCCCGCCTTGCTTACCGCACCTTTTATTCAGTACTCCGTACATCGGGAGAAACAAATGTAACAAATGACTTGCAGAGAGTTCAGTACATCCTGCGTAAATAAGATGGTAACAGTCCAAGAACAAGGAGGAACTGAGTAGATATTTGTTCCTCCCAGGATGTCTTCAGCTCCCAGGATGTTTCTTGTCCTGGAGAATCATAGCATCACCGCATCATTGAGGTCTCAGTTGTGACTGGAGGCCAAAATGGAATTATGTCTCAGAATTCCATAGCTGGGCTGTAGGCAGGAGAACTAAGCTAACCAAATGATTTTTCCCTAAAATTATGTAGCGTTGCTCCCAACAATGTGCAACAGGAGAAGTCAGCACAAAGGCCTGGTCAGGGAGGGCCTCAGTAGGCACATGTTCCCCCAAAGCCGGGGAGGACAGAGAAAGTGACCGGGGAGGGGGGGAGGGCACGTGTCCAGGCCAGAGTGTTAGAGATAGATCCTGGGGTTGCTGCGGGAACCAGGCCAGGAAGGGACATGGATATTCTAGGGGCAGAGATCTGGACAGAGAGCAAGGCAGGATTTCTGTGGGGTTTTTGAAACCAAAAAGCACAGGCCTTGGTGATACACTGACACGTGAAAGGTGGGGGATATGTCAGGGTTGACACCCAAACTTCTGTCCTGCCTAGGGACATCCCTGCCTGGGAAGCCACTGCTTGGGGAGTCCCTTAAGATGACACCTGTCATCTACCCTGTTCCCTGGCCCAGCTAGGAGCTAGGACCACATGTCACCTGCTCACGCTGGTTTTTGTGGAGTATTTTATTGAGGACGAATGTCTGGAAAGAGGTCAAGGATAGAGCTACAGGGCTGAGGTCACTAGGAGATGTCACAGCCATGGAGGAGCAGACCATGGACCTGGCAAACCCTGGGAGCCCCCAGAGAGGCTGAGGACCCCTGACACAGGCAGAGGAGATGGGGGGCAGTGTTTCTGGTTGCAGCAGCCACCAGTGTGGCTAAGACTATAAAGAACAAGGTGGGCAGAGCCCTGGCTGCAGAGGCCCCATGGCCAGGACAGGTACCCAGTGTGCTCTGTGTGCCAGGAAGAGCCATGATGGTAGGGGCTGGCTAGATAGGGGCCACAGAGGCAGCCGAGCCACCAGTCAGGGCTGGCCCAGGGCTACCTCACTCCTTGGCCTGGGAGCCCTGAGCACATCCACCTCCAACAGGCATCATCGACAGCACACACACCGAGCAGCGGCAGGTGGTGGCCGTGACCGGGGACGGGACCAATGATGGGCCTGCACTTAAGAAAGCCGATGTGGGCTTCGCGATGGTAGGAGCATCTCAGGGGGCCTGGGTGGCATCTGGGAGGAGCTCATAGATAAGGACTTAGGGGGACTGCAGCACCCCCAGTTCACTCTCACTCCAACTACCATCCACCTTGTGTATGTCTGAGGCTCTCAGACTTCAGTCTGGCCTGAGGAGGTGGTTCCTGGAAGAGTGTAGGGTGCCCTGCTCAGGACAGATTTGTGCTGACAGGCACGAGTGGGTCAAGGGGAGCAGGGAAGAGGGAGAAGGGGCCAGGGCAGGGCTCTAGCCTTGGGCCCTGAGGCTGTTCATATGTGTTCCTGTGTGTGACCTGGCTGTGCTGGTCTCACTGAGGCAGGGGTGGGGGTGGAGCTGGGAATGTGTAGGGATGAGGACAGTCATATAGAACCACTCACTGGCCCTCAGCCACCCCCAGGCTCCTGTCCCTGTCCCCACAGGGCATTGCAGGCACTGATGTGGCCAAAGAGGCCTCAGACATCATCCTCACAGATGACAACTTCAGCAGTATTGTGAAGGCCGTGATGTGGGGCCGCAACGTCTACGACAGCATCTCCAAGTTTCTGCAGTTCCAGCTGACTGTCAACGTGGTAGCCGTGATCGTGGCCTTCACGGGCGCCTGCATCACACAGGTGGGTCCTGGGGGCAGAGCGAAGGCTGTAGGAAGGCAAACCCCAGGACCCCTGGGACAGAATACCTGCCAGGGTTGGCGGCTGTTTCACAGAGCTCAGCATAGCCGCCAGCCCGGCAGAGGTGAGCATGGGCGGTGTCAGGCCTTGTGCCCCTGTCCACCCAACCACAACTCCAGCCCAGCTGCTGCTCCAGGAGGTGGGAAAAGCAGGGCCAAGGGAGGCGGGGTAGGGCCCAGGGGAGACTGAATGGCCATCTGAGGACAGGGAGCCAGCAGGGCCTGTGGGCCTTGGTTCTCAGGGGATGGGCAGGAGAGGCCTGGTAGGGACACCGGGGCAGCAGGGCTCTGTCTGTCCAGATCACCAGCTCTGCCACAGGGCTGGGAAGAGCTTATGCCCAGCAGGACCTGGACTCCTACAGCCTCACTGCTTCCTCACTGCAGCCTGTGAGGGGAGACTGAGATGAAGCCCATTTTACAGAGGCTTGGAGTACAAAGTGGCCTGGCCCTGGGCATTGGTCCTCAAGCCCCCTGGTACCACAGCCCTGGCTCCCCCCAGGAGCTGATCACCTGGCCTGGGAAGCAGAGAGTAGGCTCCCTCAGCCCTGGGGGGTGCCCAAGACCTGATCCTGCCAACAGCCACGTGGACAGACAACCTGTACTCGCAGGAGCCCCTGAATCTCGGCTCGAAGAGCCTGGGGCCCTGGGAACACTGTTCTCTCTTGCATCTTGAACTGTGGGGGTGCTCCCGACCGCTCCTGGTGCCCAGTCCCAAGGGATGGTGGGGTGGAGTGGGATATGAGAGGAGTGGCTGGGGCTCTTTTCTGTGCCAAAGGCCCTCTCCCCTCAGCTATGGGTGAGAGCCTCCCTCTAGTGGCAGCTCGAGGATACTGCCATGGCAGTAGCAGCTTGCACAAGGCTTGTGGGAGGCAGCCAGCCAGGTCGGGACACAGCTGAGGAGGACTGTCATTTCACCAGAGGCCTGGGACTGAGTGGCCCTGCAGGCCCAGGAGGAAGAATGTGACTCGACCCTCAGGCACAGGCAGTGGAGCTGGCTGAAGGGCAGGAGGAAGCCCCTGGGGTGTGGCCCTTCAGCCAGGCGCAGATGGGAGACAGCAGGAAGAGGGGCTGTGACAGCTATGCAGGAGGTGAGAGCCACGGGACAGGCACTGGGCCTGCCACGGTGGTCTGACTGTTGAGTACACAGGGCCACTAGATGAGTGAGGCTAATCCCACAGGGAGAGGTCTGGGTTGGGGAGGAGCCATGGAAAGGAGATGTGGGTTTTAGGAGAGGAACAAGATCAACAACCAGGAGAGTGGAGTTGGGGTTGGTGTTACCATGCTCATGGCAAGCCTGTCTCCTCACCATTCCCAAACACAGAAGACACGGTGATGGAAGAGAAAAGAAGATAGTCTTTGTTTAAAGCCATCTCCAAAGAGATGGAGGGACCTCATGATATCACCAGTCACCACTTCCCCATGTCCGGGTGCACAGGGTCTTTTACAGCAAGGAAGAGATAGATGGGAGAGGAATACAAGGAGACAACAGACAACTCCACATTTGCTTTACCCTTCAGCCCTTCTCTGCTCTCTCTTCCCTGTAGAAGCTGGACTTGGGCCTCCCACAAATTCTGTCCATTCATCTGGGCTGAGGAAAGGAGAGAACAGTATTTCAAGGCCCTCCCTGAGGAAGCTGGAGAAGCCACTTATGTCTAAAAGAAAACAAATTCTAACTTGGTCTCACTCTGTCCTGCTGGTTACAAATACACCCTATTTTTGGAGCACAGATACACCCAGAAACTTTTTCAGATAACACAGACTAGTAAGAGATGGAGGAGAGACTGAGGCAGGGCCATGGGCATTTCTGTGGGTCAGAAGACACTTGAGTGAGGCATAGAGGAGGCAGGGCCTGTGCTGGAGTCTTGGGGCAGGCCGTGGCTCTGCCAAGAGAGACCTATCCGCCCACCTGCAGGGGCTGCTGGGAGCAGGAGAAACAGCAGGGGTACAGCTAGATTTATGGCGCGCTGATGGCCTACCACCTGTGACGTCCCTTCCCTCTCTGCCATCCCCAGGACTCCCCTCTGAAAGCCGTGCAGATGCTCTGGGTGAACCTCATTATGGACACCTTTGCCTCCCTGGCGCTGGCCACCGAGCCACCCACCGAGACTCTGCTGCTGCGGAAGCCTTATGGCCGCAACAAGCCACTCATCTCCCGGACCATGATGAAGAACATCCTGGGCCATGCAGTCTACCAGCTCACCCTCATCTTCACGCTGCTCTTTGTTGGTGAGCCCCACCCCACCTGCATCCCTGTGGCCCGGCCACCACCTCCCAGGCACTCTGTGGCCCAGCCTGCATCTAGATTCACACCCACCTTCCTATTTTGCTAATGGGAAACTAGGGAGGAGAAGTAAGTAGTTCAGGGTCACACCGGGAGCCTGAATGGAGCCAGGCCCTGTCTCAGGCCCGCAAACCTAAAAGCCAGGGCATTTTCACCAGTGATGGTCCCTAGTGCCTAATGCACACAACAAAAGCAGTGTCCAGACTGACCACTGCACCCCACATCAGTCTGCAGGAGCCTAGGCTCTAGAGGAAGTGGCCGTCCTTCTCTTTCTAGGATGCCCTTGTCACCCTCAGGGAGCAGTCCTGCCCCTGTCACTGCTTCCTTTGAGGCTGGGTATTCAGGTATTCCAGCCATGCTTCCATCACAGTGACAAATATCTGAGAGAATTAACTTGTAAAAGAGGTTTATTTTAGCTCACCTCTTAGAGGTTTGGTCCATACTGCTTGTCCTGGCAGAAGCACTCACCACCTCAGGGCTGGAAATAAAGGAGAGGAGCCCAGTTCCACAGACTCCTTCATGGGGTTTTACCTTGATGGCCTAAGAATGCCCACCTGGCCTCCCTCTTAAAGGCTCCTCCACCTCCCAACTGCACCACAGGCTGGGGACCAAGGCTATAACAGGGACCTTTGGGGACAATTTTGCAAACCATAGTAGCCTCTCCTGGGCATTCCTGTCTTCCTAGTCCAGGTGTGTTTGCCAATCTGTGGTCACTTTTTTACCCCCTCACAGTACTAGGGATTGAGTCTAGGGAGCACTGACTTACATCCCCAGTCCTTTTTATTTATTTATTTTTTTTTATTTTGAGACAGGGTCTCGCTAAACTGCTGGCTGGCCTCAAACATGCAACCCTCCTGCCTCAGCCTCCAGAGTAGCTGGCATGTGCCACCATGCACCGGCAAATCTCTATAAGCAATGTCACCTGATAACACACCTGGCATTCAGCTTTTCTCAGATCCCCACAGAAAAGGTGGAAGACAGTTCCCCCAAGGTCTTTGCCAACTAGAGGAAAAGGGTTTGTCAACCCTGCATCCCTCACTGGCAGTGCCCTGCCCCAGAGCCCACACTGGCCTCCAAGTTGGTGTGACTCACCCGCCTGCCCTGCCACACCCTCAGCCCAGCCCCGCCCTCTGGCTTGGCAGGCGAGAAGATGTTCCAGATTGACAGCGGGAGGAATGCACCGCTACACTCACCGCCCTCCGAGCACTACACCATCATCTTCAACACCTTCGTCATGATGCAGCTCTTCAACGAGATCAACGCCCGCAAGATCCATGGAGAGCGCAATGTCTTCGATGGCATCTTCAGGAACCCTATCTTCTGCACCATTGTGCTGGGCACCTTTGCCATTCAGGTAGCCAGGACTCCCTGACCTGGGGAGGGCTGGGCTGAGCAATGACAGGGCAGCCCCTGATGGCCTGTTCCTGTCTCTCTCTCCGGCCCATGACCTCCAGATAGTGATTGTGCAGTTTGGAGGGAAGCCTTTCAGCTGCTCCCCACTGCAGCTGGACCAGTGGATGTGGTGCATATTCATCGGGTTAGGAGAGCTGGTCTGGGGCCAGGTAAGCTCTGGAGGGGTACAGGGGGCACTTCTGTGCAGGAAGGGAAAGAGCAGTGGCCAGGGGTCCCAAGAGCCCAGCAACCCACTGCCCCCTGGGGCATGGCCTCTCATCTCTGGGTGTCCAAGCAAAGGTCATCTGGGTCCCATATACTTGTCACTCTGAGCACCACCATTCAGATTTGTCCTTTGTATCTGTACATCACTCATTGCTCCTGTTATTTACTTCTTTTCTTTTTTGTATCCACTTAAATTTATCTCAAAAGGCAACATTATATTGCGAGTATGACTGGAAAATCAGTCACTTGTTATAAATAGAAGCTAACAAAATAATTAAAGTAAGGAGCATGATGTTATTAAATGCTCGCTAGATGCTAACACGGGCCAAGCCTCAGAGCCGGAAGCTAGCTTGTTAGAAAGGGAGGCGAGCTGGTGGTGTCCTGTGCTGATGCCCTGTGATGACCTTCAGAGGACACGGAGTCCAAGAGGAACAGTCTGCCATGCTGCAGTGTGGGATCTATGGCCATCCAAGATGCTCTCTAGTGGCCCCTCTAGCTGTAACCCCAGAACATATCCCACCAGATCCCTTCCCAGGTCTGCTACATGTGTGCATGTGTCTGTGTGTGTACACACAGACATCAACACACACACTGTCATCCTAGCTCTGACTCCTGACCAGGACACAGTGCTTGGGAGCAGTGTCTAGAGCCAATCCTTGATCCAAAGGGGCTCTGTCCCCAAGGTGTTCAGACATCCAGGTGGTGGAGCCACAGGGACCTGAGATGCTGTTCTCAACCTCAGGCTATCTCCAGGCTATAGTAAGAAGCTGCAGTGGCAAAATTAATTGGATGAAGAGGAAGGTTGTGTTTCATCCAAAAGGATCTTCTTTGGACTGTTGATAACTCATGTGACTTAGCAACCCCCTTCTCTGGAAACCTCCAGAGCCCAGGATCCTGGGGCCTTCACCTTGAGAGAGCTTTCAGAGTCTGAAAAGCAGACTCATGAGACTCAGGCTGATGCCAGCATGCAAAGCAGACCCTAAATCCTAGGGCCCCCAAAGGCTGTTTGGTCCAGCCCATCTGTCCTGTGACATCCACCACATCCAGTTTCCCTCGTAGATGTGCCTCTCGGACCTCAGCCCCATGGACAAGCCCCGTTGGGAAGGATAAGAATGAAGGCATTTCCCCTTCCCACATTGCCTTTCCCTTCCAAGATGGACTACCCCGTATTTCTTTCCCATATTTTGGGGCCTCTGAAGGGGACTTGAGGACCAGCCACAGGACAGGCTGTGGCAACTTGGACACACCATGTGGCTTTATCTTCACAACTCCCAGTGCTTCCACCCACCTTTACAGAAGAAAAAGCCAAAGTACAGAGAGGCCAAATGATTTGCCAAAGTTACACAATGAGTATGGCCTAGGGTATTTAAAGTCATATCTGTGCAACTCTCAAAGGCCCAGGTGTTCGATTCCATTCCCCTGACTCTGGATAAATGAGTGAATTAAGGGCTGGGGATTTAGCTCAGTGGCACCTTGCCTGCCTTGCAAGTGCAAGGTCCTAAATTTGATTGCCAGTAAAAAAAAAAAGTGAATTAAGAAGCAAATTAATTGTCAGGCGGGGTGGCACACACCTGTAATCCTAGCACTCTGGGAGGCTGAGACAGGAAAATTGCAAGTTTGAGCCCAGCCTGAGCAACTTAGCAAAATCCAGTCTCAAAATTTCAAAAAGTCAATAAAAAGGCTAGGCTAGGAATGCAACTCTGTGCATAGGTCCTGGATTCAGTTCCCAGTACAGAAAAAAAAGGCAAGTTGGTAAGAGCCTGTAAGTGCTTGAGTTGAGGAGTGAGCTGACCTGTGACTGGGTGAGTGGTGAGGGAAGAAGGAAGGAGAGGAAGGAAAGAAGCCAACCAGGAGGACAGCTGGTGGCCTGACCCAGGCATGCCGGGCCCCTGCAGGTCATCGCCACCATCCCAACAAGCAGGCTCAAGTTTCTGAAGGAGGCGGGCCGACTCACACAGAAGGAGGAGATCCCCGAGGAGGAGCTCAATGAGGATGTGGAGGAGATAGACCACGCAGAGCGGGAGCTGCGCCGTGGCCAGATCCTGTGGTTCCGGGGCCTGAACCGCATCCAGACACAGGTACAGGAAGCTCCCAGGGCTGGGCCCAGCCTGGCAAGGTGGCCAGGAGTGGAGGCATGTGTAAGCCTACAGACCTCAGGCAGGCCACCAAGGGGCACAAGGACTTGGGTGACTCCTGGCAAAGACCACTACAGGGCCCCAGATTGGTCCTTACACTTTCACCATGTGCATATCCATGTCCCTCACACCAGCCCCATGCCTGCTGGAGGAGCAGAGAAGCCTCCTGAGGAAAACGCCATTGTGCCTTCTCAGCTGGGGGGGGGGGTCCCTTGAGTGAGGGGACTGTGGCAGCTAGGGCAGCCTGCAGGAGGGACAGGCCAGGGCTGGATGGACATGGCAAGCCAGGGTCACCCCAGGCTCTCAGCTGGGGGTCCCCCTCCATGAGATATGGACACCTTTAATCGCATACATCCTTTGCTCTCACAAGAGGCTCCAGACTCCCCTGGGGAGTTTAGTGGACTAAGGAGAGCAAGGCTGGTATCTCCTTGCATGTGTGCACGCTGGCCACACACTGGGGGCACACATGTAGAATGCATGCCAGCCACAAGCAGGTTTCTCCCCGAGCAGAGAACATGTGGCTGCCATGGAGCCTATGACACACACACAACCTGCACTCTCACACAACCTGGGCAGGTGTCACAGCCCAGGAATGCTGTCAGAGCCCCACGAAGTCAGCATCAGAAGGGAACCTGGGAACCAAGAGAGAGGACCCTGCCAAAGGTGGGGGGCTGGAGCTGGGAACTTGGCCTCAGGTCCCCCATAGCACTCTGGGAAAGAGTTGCAAACTAGTAACCTTATTTCCATTGGTGTAGCAAGCAGCTCCCCTGGGCTGCCTCATACCCCACAGCACCCCATCCCAAATCTCATCTCACTTGACTCTACCTGAGAGGTGGATGTGACTCCCCAGTTCCGGAAGTCACTAAGGCCCTGAGATGACCCATCCTGCCAAACTGGCATGGCCAAGGCAGGACAGGGGGCAGTCAAACACAGAAACAGGCCTGGGCTCTCCTCCCTGACCAGGACCTGGCAGCCCGTACTTCCTGTGAGGGCTGGGTAGCTCTCAGTGCCCACAGTCCTGGTGCCCTCAATTCCCTTGCAGTCCTCCAGCTCTCAGGAGGCAGCAAGGACTACAGTTTCCTGAATGGGCATGACCCTACTGAGCACTGATGCAGCCTGGCACTCTGTCACTTACAGATAATACTGCTGGGTAGATGACAGAGAAGGGGACTCAGAGAGGGGACCTGCCCAAGGCTATCTAGTTGGAGTCTGGGCCAAGGTCTTCCCACCCAGGGGCCCCCACCATACCACTGGGTTCCGTGCCCGACCTTGAGAAAGGCTGAGCACCTACTGTCTTCCCTCCAGGCCACCTACCCTTGCCTCAGCCCAGCCTGCTGGCCCTGAGCTACTAGTGTGAGGGAGAGGCCAGAGCCCTGTGTCCTCCCCAGGAGCGTGGGGCCTACAGAGGGCAGACATCTTTCAGAGCCTTGGCATGTGTCTGGTATTTTTTTCATTTTGATTTAAGTGACATTGTCATTGTTGCCGTGGCTGCGGCTGTTCTCGTGACGTGGTGCCTGTCAGTCATGTAGCTGTTGTGTCCGTTCTTCTTGCAACTTGTCTCGTTCTCTCCTCCGTTGCAGATTGAAGTAGTCAATACTTTCAAGAGTGGGGCCTCCTTTCAGGGCGCCCTGCGGAGACAGTCCTCGGTCACCAGCCAGAGCCAGGATGTAGCCAATCTCTCTAGCCCTAGTCGCGTGTCGTTGTCCAATGCTCTTTCCTCTCCGACCAGCCTTCCTCCTGCTGCAGCTGGGCGTGAGTGTGACTCCTTACCGCTCTGCTGGTGCCACCAATGCCAGCTCCTGGGCAGGCTAGCGGGCAGGGGCTGGGTACCAGAGGACATGGGGGGCAGCTGGTCACTGTCAGGCGCAGGGGGCTGAAGGGCCAAAGCCCCTGGGGAGGGTCCCAGGTGGGCAGGAAGTCAGGGACCAGTCACAGGGTGGCAGTCACTCCACAGGCCAGGGTCAGCTGGGTCAGCGATACAATCAGCCAGTTGAATGTCATTAGGGCCACAAGTGGCCAAAGGGTCTGGGTCTAAGCATCACCATTGGTCAGGAGGACCTGGGTTTCAGTGATAAAATGGTCCCAATCCACTACTGGGTCCCAAAGCCCAAAGGGGCAGAGACACTGAGGGATGCACAGAGTCCCATTGCTCATACTCTGTCAGGAAAAGCCTAGATCCAAGGGTAGGGGCCAGAGTTGGCCAGAAGGTCACAGTCACCCAAGGTCATGCACAGAGTTACTGCAGTCAAGGGGTAAAAGCCCTCAGGGGTCACAGGAACAGCAGGGCCCAACCAAGAGAGGGGTCACATCATCCAGGGTTTCTCAGCTGGTCAGGAAGCACCCATTAGCAATGAGGTCATGGCCAAGGGGGAGAGACAAGCCAAGAGGTTCCTGAGGTCAGAGGTCACAATCAGTGAGATCCCAGACCACCAAGGGGACCACAGCCCAGAGGTGCTGCCGAAGCAGTTCAGAATCTCTCCCGCTCTGTGCTACCTTTTCCTTCCACATTAGCTGCCTTACAAACACCACTTCTCCAGCAGAGGACAGAGCACAGTGGAAGAGAAAAGGCTTTTCTGGAAGAGAAAAGGCTCCTGACCCACTCAACTGACCTCGGGTGGAAAATAGGGTGTCAAGCCCCCCACCTTGAAGTGATCTGGTCTACCTTCAGCGTTCTGCCCTCCTTTAACTTAGGAACAGCTCGAACACCTCCCCTTGATCTCCCTCCTGCCAAGCTCATCTTCTCACACTACCACTTGACCCAGGCGTCCCTGGATTTGTCTAGACCTTTCCTGGACCTCCCCATGGTTTCAGGCCCTGGAGAAAATCGGTCTCTGTTTCCCACCCACCTCCTGTTTTGTCTCTGTCAAAGGGGCCCCCAGTTCTGATTTTCTCAAGTATAAACAAGTGCACATCTGTAATCCCAGCACTCAGGAGACTGAGAGAGGAGGATTGATGTGAGTTTGAGGCTACCCTGGGCTACATAGAGAGTTCAAAGCCAGCCTGAACTACACAGTGAGACCCTGTCTCAAAACAGCAACAACAAAGTAGATGTGATGTGTTTGTTATCCCTGCCAGTCTTCAGCACCTTGATGAGAAACCGTCTCCAGGCCTCGATACTTTAAAAAATGTCTCCACCTCCATCCAGAAACAGCTACCAAACACATCTCCTGCCACTGACCATGACCTGTGTGCAGAATGGGCTCCTCCCTGTGGCCTCTGACAGGAAGCATAGGCCTCAGAGCCTGCTGATGGGCTATGCTCATGGCTGTCACCTTCTTTCTGTGGATGTTGTCCTGCCCAGTATACAGGAGGGACACATAAATGTCTTCATTCATTAGCATAGAATCAGCGATGGGGTGGCCAGCTGAGCCAAGATGACAGGGAGATATATTTGAGCAAATGGTGTCTGAGTTCACTTTTCCATGAAGCACTGTCACTAGGAGATCACTGCCAGGTTGTCTCAGGGCAAAAGCATTTGGTCCCATCCTTCTCTCCCTTCAGAGCAGAGGTCCCTTGCCTTATTAGGTGGCTCTACCCTCTCTGACCTTTTCCTCCATCCTGTCCCTGGGTCAGCTTGGCTCTGGCCTTGCCCCATACCACCACCTGTCCTGAAGTGCCATCACCAAATGTTCTGGCCTGGAGACAGATTCCTAAATTGGTGATTCCTAAGTCCCCCTAGCTAGCTTTGCCTACCAGAAGACTGGCTTCTGGGTGTGAGTTCAGTTCTTTTTCCATTCTTTGGCCTCATTCTTGAAGAACAGCACTTGGTACTGGCCATGAAAGACCTCATATGATCTTCCAGGGCACCCATGTAGCCCTGGGAGAGCTTCCTGCAGTTTACCCTCATTCTAGCTCTCATAGGCTAGAAGAAAGAGCTGGTCTTTCCCACCTCACAACTTTATCTTCACCTTTTCTTCTGTCACTTGTAAACCATTTGAAGAGGCCAGTCCTGAGATGACACTTTGCCTTCAGAGAAATGCCCATTTATGCCCATCCTACACTTCCTGTCTCTGAGCTGATATTCCGAGCTAGGTCCCCTTTAGCCCATGTGACCTATATCCTAGCTTTGGAACAGCCTTGCAAAGAAGCCCAAGCAGAGGCTAGACCATAACTGACCTTGTCTGTGACCCCGAGTCTCTCAGATGATCCAATGGGATTGTTCACACACAGCTCCTTCACAGAGACCCGCCCTGCAGCTCTCCTAGATATTGCCCATTCTCACCCTCTGCTTTAGAATTCAGAATTCTAGGTCCCTTCCAGATCCTTTCTTGGCCATGGGTTCTTAAAAAGAGCCTGACCATCCACCTGCCCAAGGGCACTGGCTTCTAGAGGGGATCTCAATGCTGTGGTCATGGCAGTCACAATGTAAACACTCAGTAAATATCCCTTTGACCTCTGTTCTGTTTCTATCATATTTCCTCGGCTCTCCCAGAACTGAGGACACTGTAGGTACTGGGCAAGGTCCCTTCAGAAGCCAATGCTTTCTCACCATAGGGGGGTGTGAAGCAGTTGGCCAGGAAGCAAGGGCAAGGCCCAGACAGGTAGGACGAGAGGTGAGCTGGCTCCCTCTGAGCAACATCTTCCTCCTGGGGATTCTCCAGCACAGGAAGCCAACCACATGTTAGTGAGGCAGAAATACCTGCTGTCTGTGTTTCTCAGGATGAGACAAAACACTGTACCCTAGATTCCCAAGAGTTACCCACAGAGGCCTATCCCAGGACAGTGTGTGTGGAGAATGACTTCTAAGTCATGACACTGGGGTGAGCACAGTCCCCAAGCACACTGGCATCCCCACACAGTGCCACTGGGAAGTGCAGGCCCCTGGAAGACAAGTGCCCATCAGGAGCATGGCATCCAGCCAGGGAGATACTGGCATGCTTGGGAGGGAATCTGCTGCATGCTCGGGCTGCTCCCTACCTACTTAGTCACAAAGGAGTCTGTTCTCTCCCAGAAATTCAGTGGCCAGCCTCAAGATTCTTTACTAGGTCCCCACTCAACAGTTCCGAAGGAGGGAAAGATCTACCAGTGTGTCCATTAACACAGAAAGACAGACTTGGCCAAGATCACACAGCAAGGGAGCTGTCAGAAATCTGCCTTCAAAATCCCTTGCTTTTCTCTCCCTCCACACTGCTACCCAGACAGGTCCACAGACGGAGAGCCACAGAGTTGAATTTCCACTTGGGAGCCAGTGCCCATGCCTATGGCTTCATAGGAGCCATACTCCAGGACTCAGGAGGCCAGGAAGGTGTTACCCTGTTGGCATCCCCCAACCCATCTGGCATTTATCACTGGTGATCAGCTCTCTCTTCCAAGGCCAAGACCCCCTACATTTCTTATCTCCCACAAGTTTCTAGCCTGTTTCAAGCAAGCCTGTCTCAATACCCACTAAGTCAAATGCAGACCCCTGAGCCAGGGCCAGGCCACATTCTGGACACCACACCTCTACTGACAGATAGGATACCCCCGCCTTGACTTCCCTCCAGACTCCTGGTTCTTAGAACTGCTGGAGCATGGAGTTTATGTTGTTGGGAGGAGAAATGAAAACAGTGAACAGGAAAGAAAATTGGATCTCTCATTAGTGTTTTGGTGACTAATTTAGCATGACCTTGGGTTGGTGAGAAAATGGCTTGCTTCTGGGAGGTGGGCCCAGACCTCTCCGCTGTCTGAATATTCCCTGTGTTTGTTTCCCTAGAGGGCTAGAGAACCCTGGACACAGAGTTCAGCAAGAGAGAGTGAATTTAAAAGAGGTTGTGAGTCTTTAACCTTGAGCCTGAAATGAATGTGAATCAATCCCAGACTCTTGGCTTCCTTGAAGCCGGGTAAACATTCGAGTATGTGGAGCCTATCTCAGAGCGGGGCCTGTACATCCCTCAGAGCCTCAGCCATGGGCAAGGGCCCCTGCCCCTTGTGCCAATGCAACTGAACCCCTGAAACCCCTCCTGGGTCCCCTCTCTTTCCCCTGCCCTTGTACCCTGACATGGCCCATACCCCAAGTCCCGTCTTTGAGGTAGGCAAGGAGGAGAAATGGAAGAGCATTTTTTTCTTCCCATATTTTTCCATTTCAGCTGAAGAGAGAAGCGAAGTGGAGACTTGAGATGGCCATGGTGGGGTGTCCCAAACAGTCTCGTCCCCACAGTCTTGTCCAGAGCAGTTCATTCTTTCTGTTGTCTCCATCCCAGGGGGCGGGCAGAGGGGCCTCATCTCATTGTGTGTTGTCCCCCAACATTGTGAGTCACATGACAGGGACCTGCCACTGTTCCCTTCCCCACACATATATGTGAGGTATCCCAGCCAGCATCTTACTGCAGCCAACCTCGGACACACTCAGCACTGGGCTGATGGCAGCAGTGATGTTTACTGCTCCATTTTATAGATAGGAAATTGAGGCCTACAACACCTCTTTTGTTTTGGTCTCACTTAAGGGTACCATGGCCCATTTACCAGAACATCAGAGTATTAATAAACTCTATGGTGCCACAAATAGGACTTCAGAGGCTAGAACCTCAGGGCAGCCCACACAGCCTTCACCGGGCACCAGCTCTGAGGTAGCGGCTGGCTGGCACCTCCTTGGAACCTGATGCCTTTTATTTAATGCATAATTCCAGCAAGTGAGGTTTTCTGATTCCCAACCCACAGCTGGAGTAAGCAGGAGAAGGAAAAGAGATGCTTTTTGGAAGACGAGCAAACGTCAGCACTAACAAGTGATGGCTGACAGTAAAGGAGGAAAACTTGAGGGGAAAAAGGCCAAACTGCCCAGTCTTGCCCAAGATCAAGAAGGAAGACTGTGAAATGTTAAGTTAAACTTTCTCCGTATACACTGACCTAGAGGGCAAAGGAGCATTTGGTGAGCTAAAAACACCCACCCACCCCCAACAGAAAAATAGACCTCAGCGTTGACACCAAGAACCCTCACCACAGTTACCTAGGATGTTCACATCCAGGGAAGAGGGCCTCCCACCAGTGCCAAGGAGAGCTGCCCTGGATTTAGTTAGAGCTTGAGTCTGGGATTCAGGGCTTGCCCATGAGCATCTCCTGCAGGCCTCTGCCTCCTAGCAGGCAAGGCGGCATCCTGAGGCTCCACACCCCACCAGCTGAGGCTCTTCCGCCGCTAGGGGCATCTGGGCTGTTTTCCCCACTTCTTGCTACAGTCTGAGTTGGGCCTAGAAAGAGAGCAGGAGATATCTTTTTGTCCCAATCCCATCAGCCCATTAAGATGACAGGCCCCCTTCCCGGGGTCCAGAGAAGTGACACCTCTCTTCCAAGTGAGGGTCCTGTCACTCCACACCCTGTGAGGCAGGACAGAGCCCAACAGAGAGGTGATGCGGCTTGCCCATAGCCAAGGCACAAGAAGTGGCAGGGCCAAGACTGAGCCTGGGTCTTCCTGCTTCCATGCTCAGTACTAGCCATGTCCACTAGCCTTGAAGACTCAGGGCCAACCTCCTTCCATTCTGTGGAAGAGGAGACTAAGGCCTGGACCCCCGGTTCACAGCTGAAGAGGGAACGCCTCGATATCTTGTAGCTCACTTTCACACTCACCCCATCCCCCTCCCAGAACCCCCCTGTCCCAGGGGGCTGGGTCTGGCCATATGATTCTGGCCTCACTTTTTTGGTTTTGTGTTTTCAAAGCACAAATGAAGAAATAAATAAAATACCCCCCCAGAAAACAAGGGACCCCAAAGCAAGCTGCAATGACTGGCCAGGGGTTGGAGTCTATACTCGAGTGTTTACCTCCCATGTGCATGAAGGAAAGAAACGCTGGGTACAAACGACTTCCTCTCCCATTGTCCAGGCTTCCAAGTGTGGCGTGTGTCCGTCCATGAGTGCCGTGTGGTTCCTGGCTCGGACGTGGCATGCTCCCTGCCCCAAACCTCACCAGTCCGCTGGCTCTTCTGTGCTTGCTGGCTGCCTCCGCTCTGCACCTCAGAAAGCCCTGAGTTGGCTTTGGCTGCTTCGCTGCCTTGGTTTGGTGTCCTGTTCTCTGTTTGGCCTCTGTGTGTCTTCTCTCACTCTATCTCACCCCATCTCTCCTTCTTGTTCCTTTCTGTGTGACACATAACCTGTTCCATGTAGTTTGGTTTCTTAACTGTGTGTGTGTGATTTTTTTAGCATTAATTTTTTTTTTTTTTGGTACTGGGGATTGAACTCGGGACCTTGTGCTTGAGAGGCAGGCGGTGGAACCACTGAGCTAAATCCCCGGCCCTAGCATTAATTTTTTAAAAATAGCCTCTCCTCTCTCCTACTCTCTCCCTGGTCCCACTCCTTTCTGCATGGACCTCTGCTGTGAGGTTACCAAGGCTTGGCCTCTCACTAGGTCGAGGGGCCCACTAGAGTGGACTCTGCTTCCCCTCACTGCAGGGCCCCAGCATCTCTGATGGTGCTCAATGACCCCTCCTCTCCTCATACTGTAGTTCTGACCAAACCAAAACCATTTAATAAAACCAACTCATGGATGCACATAACCTGAGCCCTTGCCATTCTTCCCCCTGTCGATACTGTGGATTCCAGCAGCCCACTCCTCCTCTCCTTCCTCACCCGCCAGCTCCCCAGCCCAGCCCAACCCAGCCCAACCCAGCACAGTTCTCCTGACCCTGTGCTTCCCTTGCAGATCCGCGTCGTGAAGGCCTTCCGTAGCTCTCTCTATGAAGGGTTAGAAAAGCCTGAGTCTCGAACCTCCATCCATAATTTCATGGCTCATCCTGAATTCCGGATCGAAGATTCGCAGCCCCATATCCCCCTCATCGATGACACGGACCTGGAAGAAGATGCCGCACTCAAGCAGAACTCGAGCCCGCCATCATCGCTCAATAAGAACAACAGCGCCATTGATAGCGGGATCAACCTGACAACCGACACGAGCAAATCAGCTACCTCTTCAAGTCCAGGGAGCCCCATCCACAGCCTGGAGACGTCGCTTTAGCTGAGGATCTGTCACCTGCCCGCTGGCAGCCCTCACGAACCCACTCCCACCTGCCTCCTAGGCACCCCTCCAGTCCCCCACTCACCCATGCAGCAGGAGCAACAAGGAAACCAAACAATGGAGAGAAAACCTGGTGTTTCTACCCACAGACCCTTTCCCTGGCTGCAATGCTGTTTGAACTCTTTTTTTCACTTTGAGGCAGGGGGCAGACTTCCCCTGGGAGCATAGGGAGCAAGTGAGAAGTTTCCAAAAACAAGCCCTTCCTGGCTCCTGCCTGGACGAGGACCAGCGCTGTCCTGCCCAGCCACCAAGTCCCCCGCATGAATGTACTGGACACTTTCAATCCTCCCCTTGTTTGGTGTTTGGGGGGCTGGGGAGGGTTTTTTTCCATTTGTTTTCTTAGGCGGGAACTTCAAACAGACTCTTTTCTGAGACTATTTATCCAATCCACTGGTCTGAGTTTTTGAAATGCTTGCACAGCATGGTCTCAGTTGTATAGATTAATTTAACTTTTTGAAATTGCAGAGCTTAATTCACCTAATAGATTTGCACCAATGGAACTGAAGAACTCATAGACACTCACAAGGTTATATCCATTTCTTTGTATCTATATCAACGTATACTTTTCCAGGACTGTATACGTCCATATAGATAGGTAGATATATATATATATATATATATAAATATATATACATGGATATATAAAGTTTCTTTGCCGGCATGTTGCCTTGTTTCTGCTTAAATTGCTCTATTTTAACTTATTTATGTCCTAAAAAGAAGAATGTAATTTGTTTACAAACCTGTAGATAACGTCTTTGGCTATTTGTATGGTTTAAGAACACTGGTGGCTGAGATGCTATGAAAACAGCTCAGCCCCACAGACACTTCTCTGGGTTGCATCCTTGATGTTTTACAATAGCCATGCTCTTATTTTTGCCTGCCATTTCTGTTTCAATAATGTTACCACTATGGAAGGCTCCGGCAGAAGCTAGACGCTACTGAGGATCCATCCCAAAGGGTTCACTAACATGCTCCGTAGATGAAGGGAGAAGAGGAGAGAAGCTTCCTGGGTTTGTAAGTCAAGTAGACATCCCAGCCCAAGGATGTCGGAATCTGCACAGCACTGGTCAAAGGCTTTTCTCTCAATGAAACTCACTTGAGTTTACCAAGAGCATTTCCAAAATAGGTAGTGTTTGGCACTGTCTGTAGAGAGGGTGAGGTAGTGATAAAATATTATATGTGGTATTGTGTTGATTTTTTTTTGTTTGTAATTTAGAGGTTTACTTCTTTATAAAGGGCAGCATATGAGTTGTTGGCATATTGGATGAGGATTAGTATGGCTTGCTGCTTTTATCTTATTTTTGAAGAATAGCCTTTTTCTCTGCAATATTTAGATCCAAATGAACCTTATGATGTGTATATTGAGATGTATTCAGTGTGATTTTTAAACCAAATTGTCTTCCTGTAGTCACAATCTATACTGTAGCCTTCTAACACCAAGTCTTGCTTCCCCAGACAGAAAGCCATTCTGAAACCCTCCCGTGTCACAGGTGAGAAAGGTGGCTATTTACCCCAAGACAATAACAGCACTAGTAATCCTACTTAATAAGAGCTTATTTAATTGTCTGTCAGCCTCTTAACTGCTAAGCACTTTGTGGGTCTCAGCTTTTTTCATAAAAGAACTTTTGTATTTAATACAAAGTTTGCTTTGAGACTTTTCAGCATATGATCTTTTTTCCATAAACTTGTACAGTGCAAAAGACATTTTGAATACCATGATCAATGATGTCCCATGCTTCAAGGAAAACCAAACACTTTTGCCTGGCTTGCAAAATCCATTCCTCACGCTGACCCTTGCCACGATCGCTCAGTGTCAGCCCTGCCTTTGCCCTCCTCCAGGCCCAGAGAACTCTTCCACTAACAAGATGAGAGCCACTTGGGAACAGAGCCATAGTCAGCTGGGAGGGCCCATGTTTAACAGCTATGGAAAAACCTGTGGGGTTTGGGGTTCGAAGTCAGCCCATCCCACCTGGAAAAACCTCTCTGTAAGGAGGACCTTCTGTGTGAAAGAGCACCACCTGAATGTCGTGAAGAAATCTCTCTGAATGTATCCAGCAGAGGACACTGCATCCCCAGCCACGGGCGACCAGGCCTCAGATGTGCTTATTGTACTCTGGTACAAACACCACCAAAGCCTGCCTGCCACACTCCTGGGAGGAAGGACATGCAGCTGAGAAACCTTGCAACAAGGTGGTTTTTTTGAGTTTTCTTTCTTGTTTATCCGCCTTCCCTTTCTCTGTTTGCCCATGTATCCATGGGCACATATTCCATGATGTCCAGACCGTCAAGCTAGCACACCAGGCTCCCTTGTGCTTTGGGGGCAGAACCCAAGGCCAATGGGAGGATTCTCCAAGTGGACCTCGCTTGGGGGGCAAGGAGCTGTGGAAGCTACCAAGAATGCCCAACATGTGTGTCAGTCTGTTCTTGTCAGGAGTGATGATCACCCATGTGCCCCTCACTCTCCCATGTTCACACACATCCACACACGCACACACACAGGAAATGGATGGTTTGTCAAAATTCATATAGTACACAAAGCTTGCACTCTGCGTCCTATATCTAGCAGCATGGGGTACGTTTGGCAATTCACCCCATTAGGGGGTCAATAATTTATGATCACTCATCTGTTTTTATGAATTTTTTTATCTAGACAATAATTGTAAATAAAGAACTCACCATCTCTGTTCATTTACTACTATGCAATGGTTATGCTTTCAATTGCTGACTCTTCTGACTCCTGCAGTGTGGCTCTGAGATGTCTGTGGTTTTATAAAAAAAAAAAGACAACATCACTGGACAGAACATAGTGACTGTATCCTCTGTTGTGTATCCTCTTTACTGGAGGACCACAGTCCCCTTGGGGCTTCTTTCCTGCCTCTGCACCAGGGCTACAGAGTCAGGTTGCCACCGCAGCTCTGAGATCTAAACTCAGCAACTTGTATTCCACCCTTTGCAGATGAGAGACAAGCAGGGAACCCACCCAGTGACTCCAGGCACTACAGGGTCACCTACCTCTGGAGGAGGGCAAGGCGGGCCTCTCCACACTTCAGATAGCTTTCCCTCTCAGGAGCACCCTCCATGGCTCCCCTAAGCCCTTGTCCCAGCCACAGCACAGAACTGACGAGGGAGGGCACTCTGCACTGAGACTGGACCATTGAACATGGCTGCTTCAGAGCCTGGACTCTAAACCTGTCTTATCCTAGTCCTTCCTTAACAAAGAACCGTTCTTTCTCCAATCCTGTTAAAATGCTACCTTTACCACCTGCTAACATTGTACATAGATTTGGGCTTTTGAACTTTTCTTCTGTTTCCTTATCTGGGTGTCTACTCTGGCACCAACCACACAGTTTTAATTACTGTCATTTTAGAATATTTTATTATGTGGTGCGATGAGTCCCTTCACTCTTCTTTTACAAAATTCCTGGTTATTCTGTCACATTTATTCTTCCAGGGAAATGTTAAAAGCTTGCCAGGTCCTCTATCCCCGGCCCTCCAGCACTGTCACTGTATGTGCATCTTCTCCTCACATTGTAATTATTGTCCACTCAGGGCCACTAAGTACAGTGTGTCCTGTCAGGAAGAACAAAAAGACTCTGAATCAAAGGAAGCCTGGTGTTCCTGCCATCACTTCACCTGTCCCCTCAGCCCAGATGTCAGGAAAGGCCTCTGAGCCCCCACCAACCGTAGGCTGGGAACCAAAATCACTATCTTGGTTGTGCTGAGGATGGGCTCTCCATCTGGCCCTGGTCCAGAGGAGAAAAGGGGACTCTCCTAGACCCAGAGCTATAGCCCTAACTAAGACAAAACATGGAGCCCAGTGTCTGTCTTCTATACAGATATGTACTGCTGTCTCCCTTTCCTGAACTTGTTTTGGTCATTTTGTTGTTGTGATGGGGGGGAGGATCTTGTTCTTGAATTCGGAGCTTCAGCAACTTCAGAAATTTCTTGCCAGGATGTTCTCAGTACTACCACTTCCCTCTCTCCCTGCTCTGCCTGCAGGAGGCTCCCAATGTGGTATCACTCTGACAACTCTTCCACCCAAATCTCTCCTGCCGTCACATCTGAGATCCCACCCTTGGAGGATCTGGCAAGGAGTGCTGCTTGAAGACTTGCAGCCAAGGCCACAATCAGATGACAGGAAGTCCACAGGTCTTTTCCAAATTCAAAATCAAGCCCTCCTGATTTTAATGTAGAGATCCAACCCACCAAGGGTGAGAGGAGGATTCTAGACCCTGAGGTCTAGAAGAGGTAAGCTCCTCTTACCCTCTCTTCTACAAGAGATCAGAAGCTGCTCTGGGCTACCTTCTTATCCTCCCCATCTGTTTTGTAATGTCTGTGGTGCTCTCTGTCCCAGGCTTTTCCTCTTGAGGGTCGCCACACTTTGCTAACTCTTGCGTGCACATCTTTTATATCAGAGTTATCAAGGGAATGGTGCCGCCTCCAGCTTCCACAAGCTGTCCAGGCTCTGGGGGCTCTGGGACAATGGGGGCTGGAAAGTGACTATGCTCTTATTGTACACTCTATTTCTCTGTATCTCTGGCTTGTGCTCTTTGTAATTAATGGGATTTGTCTGCCTTTTTAACACTATACTAAGCAATAACAATAAATGCACACATGGAAATGCAGACATGGTACCCATCAAAAAGCCTTTTTCCAAAGGATAGCTGGGCCCCCACCTCCCATGGATGTGAACTTGGGGAAATTCAGTCCCTGGTTGGGAAAGTCACTTTGTTCCCCTTCCACCAGGTCACCTTTTGAGTGCCCACCATCTGAGCTTAACGTACCATGAGTCATTAACCCTTTGGGAATAGCTTCACATCTCAGAAAGGAAGATCTGGGCATCAGTACCTCAGGGAGGAAAGAAGGACATTCAGGGACAAAGAGCCTGGGAGACAGAGGGCACAACTGAGGAAAGCTCAGAATGGCCTGATGTGAGGTCTAGGGTTACCCAGATGGGAAATACAGACACAGGATATAGATGATATCCCAGGAGGCAAAGAGGAGCTTGGCACTCTAGGAGTCAATCTGCAAAGAAAAAGAATATGCCCAGGAGAAGAAATAATGCTCAATGATGGTTCAGATATTGTGAGTTATGCACACACAATCCCAGCTCTTTTCGAGTTGAACTGATTTCCAGGTCAAACATATTGGCCCATCCAACTTCCAAACAGTTTCACATTCAAGGTTCATTTGATCCCAAATCAGCTTCCAGAGGATTCCAAAAATCTGAAAGTTTTGAGTGCTGATAGGATGCCACAAGTGGAAAATTCCATCCTGCAAAAGTTTGTTTCATGCACAAAATTATTAAAAATATTGTACAAATGACCTTCAGGTTATATGTATAAGAAATAAAACATAAATGAATTTTGTGTTCAAAGTTGGGTCCCATCCCCCAAGATATCTCATCATGGATATGCAAATATTCCAAAATTTTAAAAAAACTGAAATCTGAAACAGTTCTGGTTACAAGCATTTCAGGTAAGAGATACACAATCTGTACTCTGCATCCCACTTAACAGAGGAGGTAGCAGCTGAGAGAGGTGAAGCGTGTGTCCACACAAGTAGGCACATGCAGTATTGGGGCCAGGGTTGGCACTCAACCTCTCTGTCACTATGCCTTTCAGCCCCACCCACAAATATCTGAATGAGTAAGATTCAGTTCATTGCTACCCCCAAATCCTCAAGTTTCTTCAACATTTACACTAGGAAATTTCCTCAATGACAACCATGCCTAATACACTATATTTATATCTAATATGCCCTTGTCCCCATTTTCCACTGGAGGAAAGTAAAGCTCAGAAAGAAGTGACTTGGCCTTATCAGCCAGAGGCTCAAAGGTGAAGCTACAGATCCAAGGCCAGGGACTGTCCCTTGAACAACAAGAAGCCAAGAGCACCCCGCCCCCAAGTGCCACTCTCTCAGACCTTGCAGTATTTCTCCATTGGTGGTGGTGGGGATCTCAGAAGCTAGGGCGGGACGGAAGGCTAAGTTGCTGTCCCAGGCCTTGCCCTTAGTTCTGCTAATACCCTATTCCCATGGCTTCCTCTCCAAAACCCCTTCACAGGGTGGCCCCGTTATACTTCCCGAGCAGTAACATTTTCACAGTGGTCACGTCAGGCTCAGGTTCTTACCCCAGTGGTGACAGAGGAAACTGAAGCATTGTGACTTAACCCCAAGGTTCTGTTGGAAGTCCAGTGTTCTCACTGTGCTTGTGGGGAGCCCTCAAAGGCCTCCTGAGGAAGCAGGGACCTGGGTGCTAGGAACACTGAGGCCTGAAGTTTGTGGGAATCCGATAGGCCAGACTCACAGAATCCTAGGGGACCTGTTTGGAAGGGGCAGTTTGCAGTCTCTGAAGTCGTGGGCAGGGAGGGCAGAGAGACTGAGGACAGACTAACCAGAAGGAAACACTAAGACCAGTCTACTCGCTCCCCACAAAACACACACTATCAACTCTACAAAGTTCAACCCACGCGCCCAGACCCGCAGGGAAGAGCGCGACGCTGTCACTAACCCAGGAAGAGGGAAGGATTGGTCTGGATAGAAGACTGACCAGACCTTCAGATTCCTAAGCGGCTGGTCAAGGTCTCCACGGCAACCAGAGCCCCGCCCCCTGGGCCTGGAGCTCCAGGATGAGGGCGGAGCCACGCGTGGGTGCAGCGAGTCCAGAGGGAGATACGGAACCTTGTTGCGAGCCGAGCGTGCTGCAGCCCGGAGTCTCTTGAGCGACGGCCAATCTTCTCGCCAGTCCGGCGCCGGAAGTGAGCCCTGCGGAGGCTGTGTCAGGAGCTGCCACGTACGAGATCCGCCTGCCGCCGCCGCTATGGTGAGTTGAAACTAGAATGCAGATCAGGGTTCCGGGCCTTCGGGCTGGGGTCGTTCAGCTCTGCTTGACCGCGTCAAGTTTGGGGTGCTCTGCCCTGTCCCGCGACCTTTGGGAGCCGTTGGCCGGGGCGGGGGGTGCAGGCCGCGAAGCCTCTGGGCCTCGGGCCGCGCCGGTGCCTGGCGCCTTTTGCATCCCTTTCCCACCCCTCTTCTGCCCTTGTCTTCCCTCGGCGAGTGAAAATAAGCCAGAAAAATAGAGCCAGAATGCCGTAGGAGCTGTGTATCCCGAGCCTGCGGTAAGCTCTGAAGCACGGCTGTACTCTCAGCCTGTGATAGTGGCGGAGCTGAGACTCGAGCGTTCTTTATTCCGTTCCACCTAACTCCCAGCAGAGGCAGGGATTCCCAGGTATGACTGCAGCTTCAGGAAGCTGAATGATTCTGAGGACAGGGTCCCGGTTTTTTCCATTGCGGTGGTATCTACAGCATGTGTTCACTTCACAGACTCATTGAGTGAATGAATGAGAACTAATGGATAAAGCCCTCATGACTGGGCTTGACACAGCCTGGTAAATGTATGCTCCTAAGAAGAGGGGATGCCTCACTGCCAGTTTGAGAGAAACTGTGAACCTGTATGTCAGAACCCTGGGTTTAGTTCTTACTTTTCAGGCAGCTAGGTGTTAAATTGCTCTCCACTTTTGGCCTCTGGTTTTGCTGCTTCGTAGAGAACTCTATGATCCATATTCAGCTAGTTCTAAATTAATTTGTAACTCATGTGATCCTGAAGAGGTGTTTTGAGTGCTGTTGCTTGCCATTTAACTATGACCTGATAAACTCAAAGGCTTGGGAGGAACCACTGTTTCTGCTTCTTAGTTTGTCAGGTGGCTGTGTTTGACTGCCCTTGGTACTTCCCAGTACACATGTGAAAACACTTTGTAACCTGGACAGCTTGACACGCCGAGGAGACACTTCCTTTTTTGCCTTTGCAGACCTTGGGGCCCCCACTTATTACAAAGTCTAGGATTTGCTGAGAGAGGCTCCATGCTTACTTGGTATCTACCTCCTCAGCTGCTTTGCCACCATCCTTTCTCAGGATCCACCTTTCCAAAAAGTCAAGTCAGGCTTTATACTGCAGGGTTTGTGCTGGGAAATATGAGATGGGGATTGGGGAAAGTTGAAAGAAATGTCAGAAATGTAATCTTAGCACTATGAGAGGCTGAGGCAGGAGGTCTCAAGTTCAAGCCTGATCTGGGGAACTTTGTCAGAGTCTGTCTCAAATTTTAAAAAACAGTAGCAGAAAAAAACAAACGAAAAACCACCAGCAGAGGTAACCCATCACAAAGGCCCTGAGTTCAATTTCCAGTACCACAAAAAAGTAAAAGAGGTAACTAATGGCGGGCACCTGGTCACCAGGTTGTTGCAGAGGATGCTCCTCTACTTCCTGTGTGTGTATCCACAAGGGCAGGGGGAGCCACTCCTTGTTGGGCCTGCAGTTCTCTGAAGCCTCCAGCCACTTCCAGCAGCTGCAGAAGAGGGAGGACACAGCAGCAGCAGAGGATAGCCTACTGATGCCCTGTGCTCTAGCTGCCTGTGCTGCTGGGCAGCTCCCTGAGCAGGGCAGCCGCCCAGGAAGGCACCAGCTGCATCCCTAACGCATTGTGTCCTGTAATGTTTCTACCGGGAAGGAGCAAAAGCTATCCAGACATAAAGATGAGAGTGCATTCTTTTTTTTTTTTTGTACCAAGGATTGAACTCAGGACCTTGTGCTTATGAGGTAGGCGCGGGTACCACTAAGCCAAATCGCCAGCCCGAGAGTGCATTCTTGAAACTGTACTGGATGGGCTGCCCCCTCAACCTTGACTGTACATGCAGATGCCCTCCCAAGAATCTAGATTACAGGAGGAATTTGTTTTGTCTCAGTGTTGAAGCCACCAGAATTTATGCTTTAGGATCTTCTGAAAAGCAGAATGTGTTAGAAGATAAAGAGCTTTTTAATCTTGAAAGAGTTGAAATAGAAAAGTCTCTAAAACAGATGGAAGATGTTCTGAAAGGATTACAGACAAAGCTGTGGGAGGTTGAATCAGAATTTTCTTACCAGTTGGAATAGCTGAACTGTTCTATGTCTACCCTTACTACTTAAATGAAAAAAACTAGAGTTATTTCTCTAGCTATATTTTATGGTAGAGGTGATTGTTCTCAACATTAGAATTTTAAAGCTGTTTTATGATACTTTCTAGAATTGAAATTTAGGAGTTTTTATTTTTATAAGAAACGGATGATCTGAGCTACTTTCTGTGTCAAAATCATTGTTTTGTTTTTTTAATTTTTTTATTTTTTTTTGGTACCGGGGATTGAACTTGGGTCCTTGTGCTTGTGCAGCAGGCAGCGAAACCACTGAGCTAAATCCCCGGCCCATTGCTTTTTTGTGAGACAGGCTCTTGCTGCATCATTCATGCTGGCCTTGAACTTACTATGTAGCCCAGGCTGCCCTTGAACTTGTGGTGATCCTTCTGAGCACAAGGATTACATTGATTTCCTATTTTTTAGAACTTGATTTCACTTTTAATATTTTAGCTATTATGTAATAGTGAATGGTAAGAAAATTAGAGTTGTTTTCTACCTACTGTGTGGTTGGGTGTTCTTTGAAAACTACTTACAGCTCTTCAGAGAAAATGGTCAGTTGAATGATTTGTCTGAACTATTTGGAAACTTGCATGAGAGCAGAATAGCTCATATATATATATATATATATATACATACATACACACACACACACACACACACACACAGTAGGAGCCCACTTAAGCTGTTTATTTACTACAGTATGCTTTTAAAAAATCTGGAAGAGGGCTGGGGATTTAGCTCAGTGGTTTTGCAGCCTGCTGTGCAAGAGCAACGTCCTGAGTTTGATCCCCGGTTCCAAAAAAAAAAAACAATCTGGAAGAATAGACCACAGAAATAGTCATTTCCAATGGTAGGATTCTGGGGGAATTTTGGTTTTCCATAATGGGTTATAGTAAATGTATTTTTATTACTGGGAAGAGAATGAAGATTAATGTAAAAATAAATGACTAAAAAGGGTAGAGATGTAGCTCAATGGTAGAACACTTGCCCAGGATATATGAGGCTCTAGGTTTGGTCCCCAGTAAGCAAAGTGGAGGGTAAGGGCAGGGTGAGGGAGGAGGTCAAGGACCAAGACAGCCATTTCGAGAGTCCTACAAATTATTCAACTCTGGATCCCACTAGGAAACCATCTAGAGCAGTGGTGGCAAACTTATGGCATGTGTGCCACAGCCAGCTGTTTTCACCACAGCTCTAAAAGGTTCGCCATCACTGAACTAGAGTCTGTCGCAAGAGGTAGGCCATGAAGCAGCCTCAGGAGAAACGTGCATTGTCTTAGATAACCTGTAATGCATAAACTGCCTGGGATATCAGAGGTTCTGTTGTTCAACAAGGGAACATCAGCTCTAGTTCCCTCCAGGTCCTACCTCACTTTTAAGGACAGCCAGGACTGCTTCCTGTTACTCCCTACCCCTGTTTATATCAAGCACTCTCAGACTTCTGTCTTTGCTCATGTTATACCGTCTGCTTGGACTGTACTTTTCTCCTTGGGCCATCTGGCAAATTCCGTTTCCTCGTCTAAGGCCCAGTTCATGTCCAACACCACCACCTCTCAGTTCATGTAGCACATGTAAACTATGTTAAAGGATTGACCTTGACATCTTACAGTTATTTATGTACAGGCTTCTCAGAGGCCTTCTCTTATTCCTGTATGCTGCAGCCATTGGCACAGTGCTCAGGAAAAAGAAGGCACTTGAAGTGTGTGCTGTACTGAATGAGTGACGAGAAATATGCAGTCAAGAATTTTACAGCTAGGCATGGTGGCATTTGCCTGTAATCCCAGCACTTTGAAGGCTGAGGCAGGAGGATCACTGTGAGTTCTAGGCCAGCCTGGGCTACATAGTGAAACCCTGTCTCAAAAAAAATTTTTTAGAAATAGTCGGTAGATTTAATGAGATGATTGCATTCTGCCATCATTAACTGTGGTGTCTTTGGTTCTAGGTGTCTGTAATTAACACTGTGGACACCTCCCATGAGGACATGATTGTAAGTATTCACTTAGGCCTCCTTTATGGGCTTTGGACATGGGCATTTCTGTGGGAGTGAAGCAGTTTGGACTTCTCATTACCGCTTTTTGCTGGTCATTCATGAATCTGTGTATGGCAGCAGTAGTTGCCAGTCAGATTGTAACCTTAAGGGTATGGTCATTCTCCCAGCAGTGTCCTGTGAGTTGGCAAGTCTTTGACAGTCTGGTCACTCTGCTGAGGAAAATCTTGGAAAGGTTTATAACACAGTAACCTGTTCTGGCTGACAGGGTGCAGAAGTTCTCAGTCTTCTTCCTACCTGTCTTCCTCCTCCTGTCATTTCTTAGCCCTATTGGAAGGGGGTTTAACGATGAGACCATAGAAGGATGACCCAATAAAAAGCCCAAGAGCAGCCACAGAGAAAGCTCGAGGAAGAGCCAGGTGGAACCCCATAGTCACTAGGCCAGACAAGGCCCCTTGAACCACAAGTCATTTCTCAGATGTTTCCTGAGAGGCAAATACAGGGCCCAGTGTAGGAAGTTAGGGCCTCCTGGAGAAAGTCTAGAGGTTAAAGTCTCTCCACAGGAAAAACTGCTTATGTGGAGCCATGC